TTTACCTTCCCTACATGGATGTCTACTTTAATCTACCAATCTCAAAAATTATCCACATATACATATAAAAAATCAGTCTTTTATTTGTATATATACGTGGATTATTTTTTGAGATTGGTAGATTAAAGTAGACATCCATGTAGGGAAGGCGAAAGATAAAAATAACTGTGTAAAAATAACTGTAAGCAAACTGAAGCATGAAAAAATACCTGTAAGTGGTAACTGGTAACAACTTAACAAGTAACAACCAACATGTTGAAACTATAGTAACAGGCTGAGGTTGACAACATTACACCGAAATCTTTCGTACAGTTTTATTCTATAATTTATATTATGTATTTATCATGCTGGTTTTTAAATAATATTTAATACTATTAAATAAAATATAAAGGCTTTATCTATAAATGTAGAGGTAGCGCTGTAGTGGCAAAACCTCGTATATCGCTGCTGAAATATGTAGCGGGCGCTACCGCTACATTGCCTTAAATGTAACGCCGCTACCGCTACTGAAAATGTAGCGGCCGCTACATGTAGCGCGCTACTGCCCACCTCTGATTATTTGATATTATACTCTAATTAGCTTTTAGTATCGCGTTTCCTGAAAGATTATTGGAGTGAATAGGTAGGGCAGAAATGGAAGAAATTTACAAAGCAATACTCAAAGATTTCAAAAATAGATACTTCCATCAATACGGTACTGCAAACGATTTACATTCAACGATTAAAGAAAATAAATGAAGGGACCAGTTTGAGTGATAAATGAATGAAAAAAAACAAGAAGTAAAATTATGTTGCTTAAGTTTTGGAAGCTTTGGTTTTGGAAATGGAATGGTGGGAATGATCTGAGCAACGAGTCATCAAACAAGCTGAGTTCTTTTTATTGCCAAAAAGAGAGCAATATAACGTCCATCATGCATAAATACGTATCCTAGGTTTTAATACTTCGATAATATAAAAATTCGATACCCATGTATAATTCATTTTTAACTAAGGAAAGTTATGTCAACGATTCCATTATCGTTAAACGAATGTCAGTTAAGAAATTAAATGCAGTTTAAAAATAACATTTTCGGTATTAGGTCCTTGAAGCATTTTTCATTTTGTCGAACTGTTGAAAGGATAGCGCAACAGGAAAATACCTTACATCACATCTACTATATTCAACAAAACAGACACAAATTAAAGAAATAACACAGAGGAGAAGTTTGTGGGTAAACGGTAATGAAAAAATGGTGCCTATGATAACTAGATCATTCAAACGCGCAACATACACTTTCATCGATGGAAAACAATTTTGGTGGTAAAAATGAGCCCGACTGGCTGTCATTAAAACAGATTATTCACATCTCAGTGACGGTGTCAACCACAGTCTCGTCTTCTAAAAAACTCAGGCTACTTCCTTTGCATCCATCAATTATTTCATAAAGAAGACCAGAAATTTTCTCCGTCATTTGTCAGGGCAGTCGCAACAGGCGGGGTATGGATTGCAGAGGCGGTCGGTGCAGCAAGGTTGAGATCGTTCTTCGTGGTCCTGCGTGGCTGAAGTCATCCAAGTCATGTCAGCCATGTGCTGAGTGCGCCAAGCAGTCAAATTCATCAATAAAGGCCTGAAAACGTATTCTCTGTTTATCTGATCAAAAATTTTTTGAATTGTTAACATTCAAAACAGTGAGCTCACCAGTGGAATAAAATTTATGTACACCTATCAAAATGTTTGTAAGAAGATCATTACAGGATCTGCCGATTGAATATCTCGAACAATCCCGTGTTATCTTGTTGCTGCAACATTCAAGTCAAATTTTATCGATCATTTGCCGCAACAACATTTAAAAGAACAACACGATGCTCAGTGTTGAAATGAACTTACTGTCGACTAGTATCGTTGGCGATGTTCCAGCGCTCGCCGGGATCAACAGACAAGTCGTAGAGAAGAGGCGGGTTGTGCTCCGTGAGAGTATGTCGTGAAGTGCACATCTCGTCGTAGTTCTGATCGTCCGATAGTTCTGGCAACGAAAAGGGAATTGATGTCTAATTATTAAATGTTCATCTCGACTAAAAAATTTCAGATTTAGTTACCTAATGATGGAGACTGTAAATTGTTTAGTACAATTTTCAGTACCATTATTGTACCACGAAATTCTCAAAACCTCTAAGCGAGGCAAAGAATTTAGAGTTTATTGAGAAAAACAATTAGAAAATAAATATTAAAATTGAAACTTGCCGCTCCCAACTGTGAAGAAATGCGCTTTCAGATGTTGATAAACAACGGCGTGCGGTCCAGTTTCATGAGAAGGACTGCCGGGGTATACAGCGAAGTAGTCCCGAGGAGACTGGTAAAGAAAAGTGGGAGAGTCAGTAAACGAGGGGAATGTCGGTGAACAATGGGAATCGCTAGGCTAGGACACTCACATTCCAACCATTCATGAGAAAACCTATTGAAGATGCAAATAATTCAGAACATAACTGAAATATAACCATGCAACATAATGGAAACGTAGCATACAACATAATAAAAACATAACATACAACATAAATGAAGCATAACCAGACAATATAATTTAAATATAACATCCACCATAATTGCTACATAACATGCAACATAATTGAAGCATAACATACAACACAATTGAAACATAACATTTCATATTGAAAGTAATTGAACTTTGCCATTCCCAACTGTAAAAAGATGTTGATAAACAAAAAACAATTCCAGAGCCATTATTGACAAATAGAGCATCATGCCGGGAATAAAGCAATATGAAGTATGTTTTGCACATGGTGGCCGATGAAATGACAAAATATTTGAAAATTTGGGTGAAACGTGTTAATATCTTTCGTATTGAGCGCGTCTTAGAAGAAATGTTCGTTTAGAAGTCGAAAAATTAGGACCTTCATGACACAACAAGGGGATAAATTGTCCAACAATTTCGGTCACATCATCTGACAAAATGTATTTACCTTTGAGGTTTTGCCTAACAGGAAATCTGAGGCGTCGAAGCCGTCGAGCTTGAGGCCGCTGGTGTCAGCGCCGGTGAGCGCAGCGATGGTCGGCAGAACTTCTAGCGAGCTCAGCAACTCG